ACACGATTTTATTATCTGTTTGAGTAAATTAAAACTATAAGACGTATATTAACGTGAGCTTCCCTTTTAGCCCTGGCTAAATCTTAACATTATTTTTTGGTTTTGGCGTTGTTTGCTTAAAGTATGGATTCATTCAAGTGTTTTGAAGATCACGAAGACGAGCTATTATTTTATATGACAATATAAATGCTTCTGGAGGATTTATCCCCGCTCTAGTTATTCTATTAACTTAGAATATTAAGTACATACTTTTAAGCTTCACACGGAATTGATGCAGTAAAATGAAATATACTATTGGGGCTCGGAATTGGCCTTTGGTACAGTGTGACGGAAGGTTTTTCCACTTTCGAACGATTTGAACACTCAACGGGAACTCGGCGCTTTACTAAGCTATGGGTTAACTGGGGGAAACTAGACTCAATTGCAACTCGTTTGCGGGAAAGAGCCGTCACTTCTCCTGAGGTCCGGGATCAAACCACTAACTGGTACATCAAAGGCAAACTGAACTTTGGTTCCAACAGCGTTTATTCTTGTGCACGTAGCGTAACTTAGCTCACAAATGTAGTGGGTGATGTAATCGACAATCAGTAAAACTTACTTATATATGATTTTTACAACCCTTGAAGACAAATGAATACAACAGAAATATAAACAGAAATCACTTAGAGTTAAATGAAAACTAAATACGAATTCGATTTTTAACCTGAGTTTCAGAAAGTAAAAGTACTGAGACAAAGACTTCGCCAGGTCAGCAAAACAGCGTTTACGTACAAAGTGTTACAATGTTTAAACAGAAAAAGTGCAAACTAATTGGAAGTTCTCGCCTTAAACAAAAACCGATCTAATTTTAAAATTGCAAGACCAGAAAACCTTTCATATTCAAAATTCGGTTATTACCTCTGTTTAACTAACAACTTAATGAAATATATTTTCGCAAATAAACATAACTTAATCGCAATTAAAACGAGATGCACCTGCACAAAGGGCGTTACTATCAATAAATGTCGTCCGGTAGTAAAATCACGAAAAATAGACGAAAGTCAACTAAACCATTATTAAGAAATGAAGTATATTCTCTCAAGAGTCAACATTGACGTAAAATGTGTATAATGGAAAAGAGATTATTACCTGGCGAACACAAAGCAAATGAAAATTCTTTATACAAATTCGGTATGAATTACCAAGAACAACGTCAAAGCGAATATTTGAAAGCTATATATAATATTCGAGGCAAATAAAGAATTCATGGAAAATCTCTCCTTACAACAGGAACAAAAAAAGCGGCATTGGCTGTTTCACAGTTAACTTCCGTTTGATAATCTTTGTTACGCATATTCGCAAGCCAGTTCGACGTTTCTTCTAATATTAGAAATTTGTCCACGTGATCGTAATCGTGTTCACGTGATCGTGATAAAGCGCAATTTTTGCATACAGTACATGTGCTATCAAGCTTACTCTGGTACGGAAATCGGCGTAAGTTTCACAGCCTGTTAATATGAAAAGCCGGGAAGGAGAGTTCGGGACACCCAGAAGTAGGAATTCCCTGAAAGTGTTGATATTTTGGCTGCTTTTTGCATTCTGTGCTGCCAATGGTAAGTGTTTAGAATAGTCGCTCTTAGATGGATATGTTGGTCGTGTTATTTCGCCCTGTACACGGCTCTTATTTCTGAACAACAGCTTTAAATAGCAAATCTTGGCAAGTTTGGAATAATCTGGGCACTCGTACCCTAATATAAGTAGAAATACTAGTAGCATGAATATACTTATAAACTACCGTGCCTGCCAATTGAAAACACAATCACCTAAATAGACATAAATGGTCGTTTTTTTTTTCAAAATCGAAAATTAGAAGGAGAACACGAATACGAAATTTCTCTCTCAGAAAGTTGATGAGAAGTGAGGCCCACGGAGTCAGCTATCCAAGCCGACAGAAGCACGCACGCGATTCAATACATTTTCCTTTCTTCGCCTCTTCATTAATTTCTAGTTGCCTATAATATGTCTCATTTTAATCTTGATAAAGTGAATCGATTATGTAGCCAATTCGCCTAAACAACGGCCGTTAGTTGTGGTTGAAAAATTAGTACAAACGAATGATTTTCATTTTTTCTCTTTTGCCTCCGCTAGTTTTGAATTAGAGTTTCTTATTTAAAGGGTAAGTATCCAGTCGGATTGTTTATCAACGTTAAAACGATCGAAGCATGGCTCGGCACGGGCCATGACGTTTCACCGTGGAGCTAGTTTTTGCTCACTGGCAGTAAATAATAATAAAATAAAAGCCGAAGTCAGCATCGGCAAAATATGTTAACAAGTCAAGTCCATTATTTCAATTAATAGTAGCCTAATCAGCACATTTTAAACGGTTAATTTTTTGAAGCTGTATAAGGGTCCTTTGTTTGAATTAACGTATCGCGCACATTTTAGACAATCTAAAACTTTAGGCCCAATCTGAATAACGTTGAGATGATTACTTAGTGTAGAAATCCTCGGCCGTCTTGAGTCCATGTATACGCGTGTCAGGGACCATACATATTCATAAATTCTAAAGCCGGTTCGTTTCAGTCGCTTGAATTTGTTTTGTTCAATTAGCGCTGGTTTTCATTAGACATCCACAGTTCACGTAATATCCGGCAAAATGAATTTAACAATTTGGACCTTTTTGAGAGGTAACTTGCATTTGAGGGCCACTAGTTATTCAGATGAAGTACTGTCCCGTGTTACCCATCATCCTAGAGTAAGGACTGAGTCATTGGGTTTCATTGGTGCATGCATTAATTATGAGCCAACTGAGCTATGAGGGAGTCAGGGAACACTCTACTTTAAGGTACAGTAAAGTTCAGTGAATCAGAAATTACAACTTATCTAAAATGCATGTACTCCGTTTCGGATGATTGATATATCACATCTAGACTATCACTGCCTTATAACTTCCCTGCTAGGGCACTACAACAGCTGTACTGTTTTAAGGAGGCTCGCAACCATTTTTCAAGGTCTCATCCCTTCGTGTCAGATGCTCCAAAACTTTGGCTGTAGTGCATGTAGAATAGCCACAAAGTGAAACAACATATCTAACATTGAAGTAACGCAACCTTCTTCACGCGATATCTGTTTCGCGAATTTTTGGTTAACCATTTTCCACTCCGATGAAACAAAAAGGTTGTGTTATTTGAATAAGTGAATCAAATGAATCGTAAAAACAAGAATCATTCGAGTGTGAAGGAAGCAGTGAGCCGTGGTCTGGCGCCCTGCATGCAAATAGGCGGAAAGAAACAAATATCCCTAAACAAGTAAAATAGTAAACAATGGCCCTTACGAATTTAGGAATTTTTACGAATTTTTAAACTGCGGCTTTAAAACCAAAGATGACACCTTTTTGCGCTTACATGAGTCAAAATAACAAGGTGAGTGATCGCAAAGAGCGATTGCTTACCAGTTTTTACCACTGAGAGAACTAAAACCGCACCTTAAGCCAGGTATATAAATATGGATTGTAGCGGCACAGCAAATCATCATTTTTGTGTTTGTTGTTTCCTCAGTTAGGATTATAGTGAAATTTTTTTACCCTTCTATTTTCTCGACTCATCGTTCAACGGGGTGACTGCCTAGAATAACTTTTCACAGACCATTACTAGTTAAGCAAAAATTAAATATTAACCCTTTGCTCTTCCGCCAGGTGCTGGTGATGTAAGCGTAAAGGACGTTTGTCCGACGTATAAAGTGAAAGTGGATTGCTCTGCTCTTCTTCTGCAAGCCATCAATAGAGGAGAGTATGAGGAAAGCTTCTTAACTGTTGACGATCCTCTTGCTAAATCAATAGGGGAGCAATCTCAAAACCTTGCCTACTGCAACGAAAACTTCACCTGCAAGCCATATGGATTGGAACAGGGCAACTTTGCCAGAAGAATCAAGCTTGTGCCGAACCATTCTGTAAAGGGGATTTTCTACGTGGAGCTGTTGATACCAGATGACCTTCTAGTTGTTAGTTGCCAAGTCATAAGAAAACAGAACAAAGATCCATTGGTTCATCAAGTAACTGTCTCTTCTTCCATAAAATGTAAGCCTGGTAAATTTATCCATTGTTGATCTACAGTAAAATCCCGCGACTAAGAACCTGGATTTTTCCAAGTGGTAGTTGGCACACGTTTAGGCTATGTATGTTCTTAAATAGGTTCTTAGTTTCCAAAGAAAAAATAGTACAGTATAGCTAAGAGTATTTGGTGGTTCAGTTGACATATCTTATATTTGCCTAAGTGTGCAGAAATTTTTCATAGATTTTAGAACTAGAACGTGTTTCAAATCTTAGGCTAAACAGGTTCTTAAATAGAGGGGGCTTAACTGGCAAATTTTAGCCTAACAGGTTCTTAAACTCCAGGTTGAGTGTTCTTAGTCGCGGGGTTTTACTTTAGTCTCTAATAATTTGACGGATAACAAAATTTCGATCACACGTCGAGCACAAAGCCTGAATCGTACTCGGTTTTCGCGGTTACTCAGGGAAACTAACCTCAACTTGCTGTGATTAACCGGGCGCGGAAAGAAAACTTCATTCACTATTTTTAATGCCTATACACTCAGACAAGTGTCTTCTCAAAGTTTTAAGGGGCTGACACTTCACAGTTTTTTTTTTAGATTTTTTTTCTACGTACAGTGTCGTATTGTATTCCCTTCTGGTCTGACCCCAAAACGAAAATTATATGTCAAGAAAGAGAAGAAGAAGAAGAAGAAAACATATTAAAGACAGCAAGCATTGACATTCGTAGTTCGTCTAACGCAGCTAATGAGTCACTTGCGGCCCTACTGAGCTAATTATTTTTTTTCCAGGTCTCTCAGTGATTGCTGGCCAGGACGTTGAGTTCAAAATAAGTCTGGATAAAATGCCCCCAAAGGAAAATATTCAAGACGTTGGTTGGTATTGGCAACAGCAGAGGATAGTTCATTGTAACTCCAGCTTTTGTCTACTCGAGGACTGCAAAAATCACTGTCCACAGTTCCAACCTAAACTCATGATTAAAGGAACATCATTGCTTTTGACAAGAGTTGGCGAGAAAGAGGATGGATTAGAACTGCAATGCAGAATTTATCCTCATACGATGGGTACAATTATAAACACCGAATCGACGCCTCAAGTTTACAAATTTAAAATTGATGTGCTTCCAACAGGTCAGTCCAGCTATCCTTTTTAAGGAAGTACTATGATAAAATTTTTCTTTTTTTTCTGCCGGTCCATTTTGTAACGAAAATCAAGCTAGTTAATTTTAAAAGGTAGTTAAGAGTGTTGGCGTGTATCTTGAGGCCTTCATTCATATACCAGCTTGGGAAATCTATGCTAATGACAATCACCCCGTCCCCACCCCCTTTGCGCCAGTATTGGCCCTTTGAAGCTCAGTCACTTGATCCGTCTTAACCCATTCGTCCCTGAACCGCCCGTAACCGCCCGTGCGGATCCACGTCCTTTCTACCCTTTGTGACGTCATCAGTTTTAACGGTCAAGGACAACTTTGTCCACTGACTTGTGCAGAGTGAAGAGATCTTTCAAACCATACCAGAATGAGCACAATTCAGTCAAGGACACCGGAGAAAGAGTATGGTATGGTATGGTTTGAAAGATCTCTTCACTCTGCACAAGTCAGCGGACAAAGTTGTCCTTGACCGTTAAATCTGATGACGTCACAAAGGGTAGAAAGGACGTGGATCCGCACGGGCAGTTACGGGCGGTTCAAGGGCGAATGGGTTAATCAAAAAACCTAAAAATGGCCTTTTCACCAACTTTTTCACCTGATTTGACATGAAATAGACAGATTTGGTTGTTTTATCCTGAAAAGTAGATTTTTTTTCAAAAAGTTTGGTACTTTGCTTTATCAAAAAACCTAAAAATGGCCTTTTACCAACTTTTTCACCTGATTTGACATGAAATAGACAGATTTGGTTGTTTTATCCTGAAAAGTGGATTTTTTTCAAAAAGTTTGGTACTTTACTTAATGTTGTGTTCCGTAAATTTGGCATGAAAAAGGTCACGCGTGTCCCGGAGCTACAAAGTGCCGATGATATTTGGCCAGTTGTGCTAAGTGTTCAACTCCTATTTTTGTGCTCCTATCCGATGGAACCTAATAATCCTCAATTTTTTGTGTTAATTTGTAGGGTTCGTTACCAAGAGTTCAAAGAGGCCTCCAAGTACAAGACCCACACGAGAAACAAAAGGCTCATCTTGGGTATACAGTTCAAAACCTGCTACCGCAGGCCAAAACACATTAGCTTTCGCTCGTTTTTTGATCACTTTTGTCATACTTCTTGTGGTTTCCTGAGAAATAATCTAAGATTGGAATTCTGCAAGCACGCAACGAAGGCGAAATTACTATTTTGTTTTGCCTCTTATTGCGTAATGTATATCTCTTACTATCCGAGTTCGAGATCCTTACTGTAAGTTACAGACCGGGATTCATCACGGTCACCGGTAAAATGAAAGGCAGTCACTGGATGAAGTTTGCTCTCACCTCTGTCCGCCTTACCTGCATTCTGAATGAATGTCAAAACAGCCGTCGAAAGTTTATGGCGGGATTTCAGAGTGCGTGTTGTTTAGTTAAGGTGTTTGGTGAAAGGTTTGTTTTTGTTGCTGTCGAGAAACTTCTTTGTCCGTCGTAGTTGTAGTCTGTTTAAATCCGTTTTGTATCACTTTTTTACAATACAATACAATACAATACTTTTATTAATTCTCCCCGAGGGGCTTTTCAGAATTAATTTACAATACGTATATATAATATAACTAAAACTAATGATATACATGTTCTTGATATATAAATAACAACTTGAAATTACTACTTCTAATAATAATAACTAACAACGTAATAAAATACTATGATATGTATACCGGTATCCTATTTCTTCATTAATTCTGCCTTTGCATGCTTTTTAATGATCTTAATGATCGGGCAGTTCTAGTGTTGTTACTGAGACTATTTCACGCTTTTGCTACCCTATAAAAGAAGCCACTCTGGGCAGCCGCTGTCCGGCATCCTGGCAGGTTTAGATCTTCACTGTTGCGGAGATTGTAAGCGTTTTTGACTTTGACTTGAAAAAGTTCGAATGTTTGTTAGGACTCGGGTTTTAAGTGTTATTTACAAGGTTTCTTCTGGCAATCAGTTATTGAATAAAAAGTTTTGCTAGTCGCTGCTTTCTCTGTTTTGGCTGGAAAATGTTAATGAATACTATCCGTTGCATACCGCAGAATATTCAACGGCTTTCTTGCTCTGTAATTGGCTGTATTCTATATGGCATCAAATAAATAGTAAGTGCACTTATTATATGGCTGAGTCTGTTTTCGCCATGCGATTGGTCAATTTTCGGTCCGTAACTTGCTGTACGGACCAAAATTTCAAAGAAAATGCTCATTTCGGAGCTCTAAATCTCTTTACCTTCGGAAAAAAGGTTGAAATAAAGTTACAAGACGTCTATCAACCTTGAGGACTTGGATTTTGACTTTGTCCTTCAACATTTTAAATTGTGTTTATTTGCGAACGAAGGCGATGAAGAAACTAACACGTAATCTTATCGAAGCGGATTCTAGTCAGTGTTTGAAAATTTTATCGTAGTACACAGTTAAGAAGTCGAAAATCGATTGGCAGAGATTCGAGATGTTTTGCCTAAGAGAAAATGAGTAATTCCTTCGACAAATATGATAACAAACATGCCTGCACCCGATCATCTTAACGAGCTTCTTTGCCATTTGCAGTGTTTTTCCAAAGACCAACGAAAGAAAGATAGAAGCGACTTCGAGCCAGACACAATGTCCAGTTTTCAAAAGACCGCAGCGTCACATTGGCGAGTGAATACTTACAGTGCTCTTAGTTTTGACCGAATATACCCAAAAATATGTCTGTAAACCCTGAGAACTGGGATGTTGACTTTGCCTTTCCAGATTTTAACCTAGCTTGGTTTGAATGAGAACGACGCTGATGTAGAAACTGAATCGTGACCGTTTCGTGGAAGAAAATATGGTCAGTGTGTGAAACACGCAGATCACAATTGAAGACGAGAATGAACTGGCAGAAATTCGAGAGGTTTTCCCAGATGGAAACGACTTCGAGAAAGACACAGTGCCCGATTTTCCAAAATACTCCAACGTTACATTAAGGAGCTAAAACTTACAGTGCTCTTAGTTTTGACCAAATAAACCTTTTCAACATGGCGAATTTGTTTTCACTTTCTCGGAAACCCTTTGTTGTGTGCTATTGTTTTCTTGAGCCAATAAAAACTTTCTTTCTTGACGCCTGTCAAATGATTGTCAAATCGCTCGTCCTGCACATGTTTCCGGTCCCCCAAACTGGAAGAAGCCATATAATAAACATCTTATTAGCCTCGTTTTTTCGGTCCGTACTGTAAATTACGGATCCTCGTTTTTTTCCATCGATTTATGGCCCAAGCGCGAAGCGCTTGGGCCATAAATCGATGGAAAAAAACGAGGATCCGTAATTTACAGTACGGACCGAAAACTCGGCTAATAGAGTACTAAAGTGATGACGTCATAAAAATGAAATTTCTGAAATTATGGGATTTGTCAGGATATTCTGAAAGAACAATGTCCAAGAGGCTTACTTGCCAAAAATGAGCATTTCGCGGTAAATTGTCTCTGAGATCGTAGCCCAGTTATACTCAGAAAACTCCATACAAACCCTTCTATTTTTTTTTGGGTCGACCCCAAAAAAATTTAGAAGGGTTTGTATGGAGTTTTGTAAGCATAACTGGGCTACGATCTCAGAGACAATTTGCCCCCAAATGCTCATTTTTGGCAAGTAGGCCTCTTGGACATTGTTCTTTCAGGAAATCCTGACAAATCCCATAATTTCAGAAATTTCATTTTTACGACGTCACACTTTAGTACTCTTATTTATTAGGTTCGCCAAATCCCGATATAAAAAGACAATTAAGTTGAAACTGCCCAAGATATAATCCACCAGTCAGTAGAAAACCATATAGTGTTGTGTCAAACGTGAACTAGTAGTGCTCAGCATAGCCCTTAATCCCTAGCAAACTTTTATTATGCCACATTGTACAATGATGACAATGATTTCTTGACTTTGTCCCAATTAACTTACAAGAATCCGTGTTTTAAAAGACTTTGTATAATGATTAGATCATATGTTGGAAATAAACGTGTAACGTCTGTGTCTAACACATTTATTAGTGTATAAATTACGTGAATGCTTTGACCTTGCAACAAAACCTTGGTACTTAAATGAATATTTCAGTTAAAGCTTGGCTCTGACGATGATATGGACTGGGTGCTGCTTTTAGTCTGTACTCTCCTGTAACCCCCGGGGGTACTCCCCTTTAAAAGTGACGAGGGTGCTCGTCGTACCTTTTTGAGGTTTAAATTGCTGGATTGGTACCGTTAAGGGTGCTTTAAAACAAACGCCAGTTCTTTTTCAGTATTATACTCGTCGTGTGAAATAAAGGATAGTGATGGAGCATTCAATGTTTATAGAATGCAGAAAAACTGCCTCTTGGGGGTGGAAATGAATTTGGGACACACCCATAAAACAAGATTCTGATACCTCAGTAGATGTGTTCTCGAAATTTTCCGACGAGCACTCCGTCACTTTTATAGGTGAGTACCCCTCCCCCTCGGGCTGTAACCTGTCCGGCTAGTTTTGGAACTGCCGGCATAGTTCACAGCGTCATTAAGGCACGCAAGCTCCCCCACCACGACGAGGTAACAGTACTCATGCTGCTCGTTTTTTAAACAAGTTGATAAGTAAGTCGATTGATTGAAAAGCTTTTGCTGTACGAATGACGCTCGATTGACATTTGTATAGCCCTTGCTTGATTAAAAACCTTTGCCGCATAAGTGGGGCTCGATTTCTAACGCCGAAGTTTGACATAATAAACGCTCCACACTTGCGATCCAATCTTCTCGATTGTGCCTACGTTCGTATTCTCTGATATTACTCTCTCTCATATTACCACAGGGCCCGCGCTGGGGAAGGGGCCTTGGGGGGGGGGGGGGGGGGGGGGCCCCCCTTCTAACGCCAAAGTTTGCACTAAAAAACCTCCCCCACTTGGCACCCAATCTCCTCGGTTTGCCCTACGTTCTTTTTTTCTGATTTTCCCTCCTCCCATTTTCCCCCGGGGCCCGCGGGGGGGAGGGGGGCTGGGGGGGGGGGGGGGTGGTAGGGCCCCCCTACTTTTTGAAAAATAAATAAATAAAATTAAGTACAGTGGAACCTCGATACAACGTAAGGCCTAAGGACTGGCAAAAAATGTTCGTCATAACAAGGTTCGTTAACTTTGTCATATTGCCTTATTTTTTACTATTAGTGGAGTAAAAAAAAAATTAGTTCGTTAGACCGAGGACTTCGTTATGGAGGTTCCACTGTAATATAAATTTTCATATAAATAGTATCTTTGTTGGAATAAGATTCTTCAAGCATCTAAATTTATTGTCGGCCCGTTTCGATCCCATCAGTCTGGTGCGCAAGCTTCAAAACGCCTGTCTTTACAAAACTGCACTTAGTCTTAGACTTCTGCGTTCTCAAACCATCAAGGCTATGTAGCATTTGCAACGATGCGGAATAGAGTCTTCTTTGTGAAGGTTCTCGATTAAATCTGAAGATTACTCCACGAGCTACAGTTTCTCAAAACTAATTAAATCGACTGATGATATGGTCTCTGACGCATTTCGATGACACACTAGACAAATTGAAGGGGTTACAGTAACCTACAGTGTAATATCATGATCTGCAAACTTCTACTGGTGGACCCCGCACGTGCAATCAGGCTCAGCAGGAGAAGGGTACTTTTCCGCGGCTTGAAATTTATAAACATGACTCCGCTCAACAATGAATCAAGAAAGGTTCAGTAATCTGACAGTTCTAAACAGCTCCAAAGAGAGAACAGCCAAATTTGCACCCCACCCCAACTTCAAAAGAGGTGGTCATCGGCCCCCGCACTCTAAAAACTGCTCCGCGGGTCCTGTACTAGTGTGTACAGGCGTAGACACTGAGTTGAAAATGTGTCTTTCGCCTTAATGCTGCTTTCTTATATTTGACAATCACTACGACAATGGGAGCGACGGGTCGGAAGAGTTAGGAGAGATTTTTTTAGTGTAGTCTTTATTCGCCTTGTAGGTAATGTATGGGCTCCCGTTTTGGCTTGTTTAAATAAATTCACATTGATTTGCATTTAAATGTCTTCGTATCCGCAAAAGGCACGCGCCGTTTTGCAAGTTTTATTTTCAATTGCTTTGTGATTACTAGATGAATAATCCTAATAAAGCCAGGGGAGTTATTCGTATGCCAAAAACCTAATACGTTAATTTCTCTTTTCAATTGTACAAATGCTTCTTCTGGCTTCAAGAAGAAATCTGACTTTTCCGAGTTTTTACTTAGGGCCTGTTTACATGGAGTGGGGGACCCCGGTCTAGTGGGGTTAGTTTCTTTTGTTTTCACGCTCTGGGGGACACACAAAAAAAGAAACTTACGCCACTCCATGTAAACAGGGTCTTAGATTAATCTTTCATTTATTAGTTTATTTCACAGCCGTGACCGGCATCGATTCATGCTAACGTCTTTCTAAAAGGTGTACATCGTTTTTAACTGCAATTTGCCTACCTTTGACAAGTATTTATCTGTGCCGACACAGAACCATGGTTTGCGTGAAAAGTTTTGCTGACTTGAAAATGCGAAATATGTTCGATTTATTTAGAGCCGCCAGCTGAATTTCCAGTCCTGACTATTCATGCTGTAATTTATGTAGCGAAACAGCTCACTTGCTGACTTCAGTTGGTAAACTTTGTTCGTATATTGGTTAAGCAATCAGCACTTTTCCTTTATCTAATAAAATTAGTAACCCTAAAAATAGACCTCGGGCTAAAAGTTTGATTTTCTAATTAAATTTCGTGAACTGTTTATGTTCCTGTTTACATTTCTATTCTTGGTTTGCACGTGACGTCACTAAAAATCAAACTAAGAAACTATCGATTCTTCTGAGTTTCTACTTTCACGAGGTAAACACTTCTGTATAAACAAATTTTTGGTTCCAAAGGGTACTTCGATTTGCGAAAGAGGACGCTTGAAGTCAGGCTTTTGCGTGACGCGGCATTTAGCTGACGGCCAGGAGAGCTCTTATGTAGGCTAAAAACATGACCGATTTTGGAAGATTTTGCTATCTAAACATTCCTTGTCTCAGAATAAATATTTCTTTAATCTTTATGGGTTCCTCATGCGAAGAATTCACGCATTAGTAGAAAAACTCAAAAACAGATGTTTCTGCATGTTGGTATCCGGCGGCCATATTGGTGTCCCTGAAAGGGACTCCAACATGGCGTTTCCATACAAAGCTTTATAAATTTAGGTAAATCGTTTTTCAAAATATCTCGCATTTGAAATATTGCCACAGACCTGATTTTTGGCAAGACGTTTTGTATATTTATCTTCTTTCATTTCCCAGATTCTAGACGTTCTGTATTGAATGGTTTGCATTTTTATTTTTCATTGCGTGACAGTGCAAACCGGGAATTGTACTATTTGGTTTTCAATGATTGTACAAATCAGAAGTGCAAATCGGTTCTTTCCTGTAGCTGCCATTTAATTTACCTTTCCCATTTCCGAAATCCAGAGTTCAAGCGTCGAGATTTAGTTCTTATCAAAATCGTTCAAAAAGTGACGAACCTGTCCGTTACAAAACTCAGTCTTGCGAGAATGTGTCACATTTACTGACGCTTTGATTATGGCACGATCACGTGCATATTTACATTGCAGTACAACTGATCAGCCAGTAGAAAGAGCGAACCTTTGAAGAGGGAAATTTCCCTTTCTAAAATTGTCAGCTGAGAAGCACCTTGCTTACGCTGGCTCACTGAGGCCGGTAGTAACTCCTCATTGAGTCAGTTCTGTTAAAACTTGACGCAAAGTATGAAAGTATTGACAGGGGTCGTTACCCCGCATGTTTCAAGACATTTCACGAGCTTGCACAGTTTTGAGTGAGTGTTATCATATTTTAATTGTTCTGTGTGTTTTTTGAAGAAGGTGACTTCTTCTAGAAAACGTTTTTGGTCACAGTGATAGTAGTCTGCTATACAGCCGTTGTTAGAGTCGTCACGCAACGCGTGTAGCGGACTACAGTGATAGATACAATAGCATAATATTCATATTGTTTGTCTCTGTAGTGTAGATCGCAACGTTTCGACTGCTTGAGCCGATTTTTTTACAAGAGACGACTTGTAACGAAGATTTTTAGGGCCAAAGAGTTGATATAATGCATGTAGTAACAATTGAAACACTGTTTGAAAGTTGCATCGCGCCCGTCTGTCCTTTTTTTGAAAAAAAACAAAACAAAACAAAACAAAAAAAAACATTGGACACTTTTTGATATTTTTACGGAATATCACCTCATCAGCCCTTTTAAAAGACTGTCGAAAACATTCCCGGGTTAAGGAATGAGCTGACTTTGAAGTTTGAGTATAATAGAATAATACTCGTTTGATACTTTACAGCCCTAATTTTTTTTTACTTAGGTATACTTCTTGGTCAGCTACGGGCAGGCGTTTTGAATAATGATTGTAATACCCGATCATGATAAATGTTTGCTGTAAATGTGTATGATATTCAAAGCTGCGTTTTCTGCGATGACAACATTTTTTTTTCGTACCTTGAACCTTTAAGAATCAACCTGGCAGCCTTATGGTACACATGTTGGAAAAAAGAAAAAAATCTTTCATGTCAGGAGCTGTTCATGTTCAGTGGTTGACTACGTTTCTAGAAATCGCCAGAGTTTCTCTGAAGTTCATTTCCAGTAATCGCCGTACAATTCTTGGAATCGTGAGTTTTTTCCAGAAATAGACGCCTATTTCTTAGAATGCCTACAGACTTCCATTTTCAAACTCTGTTCAAAACTCGCATATTTCAATAAAGGTCATGCCAAGAGACATGATCGTAAAATCGAGTCCACGCAATTGTGTTGAATGGTCAATCATTCGAAATTGTCTTGAGTGTCTTTTTTTGTGGTTTACAAATGAAGAAATCAGTCTCAGTGAAATATAGCCCGCGGGCGGGGAAACGAAAATTAGTGCATGGGAGCAAGAAATCCGGTTCGGGGCGCGCGGGGGAGACTTGTTTGGCGTATAACATTCTGTTTAGAAACTAGAGAGGAAGGTTCGTGACAGCGTGTTAAAATGTTATAGGGTATTTGTTTCATAAGTAGTGGCCCTTGTTTCGGATAGATTACTATTCACGGTATTTTTCTCCCAAACAGAGAGCCTGTTCACAGGCTATTCACGGACAGTGGCATTTAATGATACTTGAATATTTTAAGTGTGGATATCTTTTTGATCAAAGCTTGAGCAAAATGAAAACAAATAAACCCTACATTTCTAGAAACGTTCAAACATCAGGCCTGCTTCAAATTCCAAAACAAGCGACGCCAGGTTAAAGTTGATTTCCACTTGTTATCAGTCAAAAACCCACTGGCCAACTGATAGATTAAACGATTTTCAAGTTTCAATAACGGACAGTTTTATCTATTTTTGATAACATTTTAAAACTGAACGCCTTCTTAAGAAAAAAAAAAAAACAAAAAACAAAAAACAAAAAATACCCAAATTTATTTTACAAACCTAGCTCGAAAAAAAAGCCCATTGGCTTTTGTCTTAGGCCAGGTGCAATTAAAAAAGGCGACAATGATGAATGCTTGCTCCACTGAAAGGAACGCAAAAAAGTCCTTTTGTTTCCTTCAGAATGTGCTGTAAAAGCAAGTTTAAGCCACTCGCGAAATAATGATTACCTTTTAATTTGTGTGTTGCCTAAGTATGCCGTAGCCGCGTATCCGGTTTTGTTTCTAAATATACCTGCCTTCAGTGTGTTTTAAAAACGTGCACAATTTTAAAACGAATTCCACCAATGAGAGCCAAAGGGAAATTTCCCTTCTCTGACTTTATGCTCATGATAAATCAGCTGGAGATAGCAATCTCGTTGAACTTCGACGAAGACAGTGTCCGGTTAATTCGACTTTACACAATGTCCTCCCCTCGCAGAAGCTTCAAACCAACGTTGATAAATCACATATTTTACTTGTTATGGTTCCCCATTGGTAAGTGTATGTATTTTCTAGTGTCCGGTTAATTCGACTTTACACAATGTCCTCCCCTCGCAGAAGCTTCAAACCAACGTTGATAAATCACATATTTTACTTGTTATGGTTCCCCATTGGTAAGTGTATGTATTTTGTTATTTTTGAGCGTTTGAAAGGTTCAATGTCACCAAACAATCTATAACAGACTCATAACACCCCACAACTGAAAATCAGTTCAGTAATACTGTATTTTAATTATTTACCGTCGCAGTTCATCAGATAGTTTTAGTGTCTAATTTTATTTCATAATTTTTATTAATTCGCAATGCTACAGTCTAGAATTCGCCCTTTTCTCGGCAATAAAGGCTGGTTGGCTTTCGTTCATGCTATTTTAAAGTTCGTGCATCTAAGTTTTGAAAACCTTAAACGTAAACAGACTTTTCGACAAAGCTGACACTCCTGATGAGCTTACTGCAATGTTATTGATCAGAAAACAGCTTACTAATTTGATTCATTCACTTGAGATACTTAACAAAGCACACTGGTACTGTGCCAGTGCTATTACAAGCGACACTATGTTCAAAAAGGACACAGTTAAACAACGATATTTTAATACTCCCCTGATGGTGTGTTTACAATAAAGAATAATAAGGACAATGTACGTTATTTTTGATGACGTAGCAGTGTGCCCCCAAATTTTATAGGTACATTTTAAATCTCCCCCCCCCCCCTCAAAGCAAAACTTTTCTACACAGTTTCTCTGCTCATAATGAATTAGAGCGAATTTCACAAGGTACCCAGACTAAGCCCCTGATGTTAGTGGTGTGCTAACTCTGCATTTATTTCACATTTCTTAGTGTTTTTGTTAGGTTTAGCCGAACGTTCTTCACTTGCTCCGTGATGACAACCGGACTATTGTCCGAAAATAAAGCATTCATTTGATATTTCCTTTGTCTTTTTATCATGTTTTTAAAGGTTTTTCACTTGTTTAGAGATGACAACCGTTGAAGTCGTTGAAAAATAAAACTTCATATTTTTCCCGGCGGTCTTGTGATATAACGCTTACTTATGCGCATTTGTCAAGCACCTTTCCTATGACGTCACTTGGTCGAAAATTCTGAGGTGAAACCAAGTTCGCGACTTCATCTGACTCGTCATAGAGAGTAAATGTTTTGGACGTGACCTTTTTTTTATCTGTGAGGTGCTCTACACTTTACCTATTAGGAAGTTTTCAAGAGTTTTCATTTTTAACGTTACCGCGCCTCAAGACCCCCAAACACGAACCCGCGTGGCGGCAAATTTAAATGAAAAGAAGTAAAGAAAAGATGTAGGCTACTTCTAGCAAAGGCCGTATTAAGAAAGCATAGAAAACCTAGATAGCGGCTGCTAGAATTATAGCCCGGGTGTTCGAGTCTGTTCCACATCTACAGAGGGTCATTTCCTCCCTCTGCTCAATTTATTAGACAACCTAGGTTACAGCATCAGTTAAATATCTCAAAAGCAATTTCTAGTCTCAATAATAACTGACGATGAAGAGGAAACTCACAACCGTGACGGAGTTTGTGTGCCGCACATCCAGCAATTCAGAAGCTGCTGAACCGTTACAGTCCCTGGTTCGCTGTCTCTAGTATTTACGAATTAGACGATACCCCTGAATACAAATTCGACTTTAACAATTCGGCTTAGCTGCAATTGTGGTTTCAAATTAACCACACGATGGAAGGCGTTACTCTTACAAACCTGGGATCAAATTCACAAATAAAGCCAAGAAAAGTGTTCAAAAGCACTACATTATACAATAATAGACCCATTGCCTGCCAAAATGATAAGTATTATGGGAGCAGACTGTTTTTAAAACAACGTTGATCATGCCGGCTTTGTTTCCTCAGTAGCACAAGTCAAACATGTTTAGCAACGATGACTCTGCAATCCTAAAAGTTTCTCCAAATGTTTTTGACAAATAGACAAAAATAATGCAATAGATCGTTTTCACTGTCACGCAACGAAAAAATAAATTGGAAACCGTCCAGTGGAAGTGGCCAAGAAAATGAAGGTTATAAAAGACTAATATATAAACAATTTGTCCAAATCTCAGGTCTTGGTGGCCGACAGTTTCTGAGTTATTTGCCGAAACGTTTCACGCACCTTTGTAGAGCTTTGTATGGAGACGCCATATTGGTGCACCGTTTTGGTGCACCAGTATGGCCGCCGGAAATCAACAAATACATCTGAAGTTCGCTATTTCTATAAAAGCTCTTTCTTTTCACTTGAGAACTAGCATACGTGCCCATAAACATATCTTCAAATACTTGTAATGGTTATACTTGTTCATGGTTATTATCTTGCTCAGTATTAATCATCGCCACACCGACTCTCAAATGTTATATTTTTTTATGTGTGTGTGTATGTCCTTTTCTTTTTTCCTCTCTTTTGTATATTTTTCATAGTTTATAGGGTTTATACTTTTCTCTTTTTTTCTCTTTTAACCTAAATAAAACTGTAATTTAATCAAAGAACAAGTAATTAGTTTAACTATATCCTGCCCTCTCCATTTATTCTTGTAGCCTGATATTTAATTCTGCAAATAGCATCTTCATCTTCAAGTCTTGTAATACAATATAAATGGCTTATAAAATAAATAAATGGAGAGAAAAAAATAAACAAAATAAACAAATAAATGGTTATACTGCTGAAAATCAAGAGGAGAGACTTTTTTTCAACGAGACAGCATTCCTATTTTGGTGTCACGCACCGTGAAAACTGTGAAGTTTAAATTGCTGTATTTTGGAAATGAAACATGCTACGGGAATGGACACTTGTAAAAAGATTTACTTTTTGTTTATCTATAACCTAGTGTAAATAAGTATTCGTAAAACCCCGCTATTTTGACTTTACAATTTGGTGACGTTACTGTGAAAACCATCTATATTAGATACAACAAACAAGAAACCAAGGAAGAGGAAATAATGTTTTCCGGAGAGAAATTCTTACAATACAGTTGTGTACTAATTGACGGGTTTGGCTTGAGAAATCACCCAGGAAAGCTGTGCAGTATTTTATTCGTTGTTTTTTCCCCTGACTTTTTTCAGTCAGCAACGTCAGCACACAAGAGAAAATGAGGTAATTCTCTCGGAGCACGTTATAAAACAAAGCCTTACCAGACTGGAAGCTCAGTTTCCTTTGGCTAGTCGTCAGTACGACCGCTCTTTAAAGTTTATCACGGATCTATTGTCGCAAATCCTTGTCATCTGGACCCAAGAAAGTTTTGCTGACTTGGCAAAACCATAACAAAATAGATCAAATTTTGTCATCGTGCATCGAGCCTGGATTCTATTGATGGTGCATAGATCGTGCCTTTATCGAGCCTTAGCTTGACGGTGCCTTTATCGTACATCAGATCGTGACTTTATCGTGCGTATGTTGAGCCTATCGTCGTGCCTTCATGGAGCCTTTATCGTGCGCGAAAAGCAAGCGCGGAAAAAAAGTTGAGGCAAATTCAGCTTATCTCCTCTCTTGCAAGTCAAAAATGCGCCGGTATACAAATGAAAAGTAGAAGTTGAAAAAATACTCAGAGTCAATTTATCTTTGGCCTAGTTTTACTGACTACACTATTCAGAGAGTTTCATTCAGCCGAGGTTTACTAACTTTCTGAATTTTTTTATTTTTATTTTTAGTGACCAGAGTTGACACCTCATTGGAAATATGCTCTGAGGAGGAAATCGAATTCTATTGTCCATCACGTGACCAGGCTATTAAGAGTAATCAGTACCAGAGTCTTCTATGGTCTGTGTTTGACCCAATGAACCCATCAGCTAAAAGGGAGAATATATTTTATTGTGGTCAAAACCCTGTGAACTGTCACACTTATAAATTGAGCAGTTATGATGGACGAATCTCTGTCAGAAGTCCTGTTCCAGGGAAACTGTTTCTGAAACACTTGACCAAGAATGATTTGCTGACTTACACCTGCCAAATACAACTTAAAGATATCAACCTGGACCGACTTGTTTATAGAGTGAACATTTCCTCTTCAGTTTATTGTAAGTTTTTAGTGATTTCTTTTTCTTTTTCACTGTGTGTCCCCCCTCCAATACGTATGGCAAACAAAATTAAATAATATATTTTTTGTTCTGATGGGGAAATCAATCCATTCAACCAATTTAATCATAACCCGACAAGGGATTTTTAATTCAATGCGCAGTATTAATATAATTCTCTCGTCATACTCACTGTGGTTTCCGGCTGCTTAATTCAATTTACACTTGTTTTTTTTTTCTAGGTCTGACGGCGCGTATTGGTAAAAACCTTAGTTTGACCCCGCAAGAATTTGCAGAAAAACGATTGTCGAAAACATTATTCGATGAAGATATCTGGTGGTCCATGATTGAAGACAATGGAAAGAAGTGTACATTCCTCTACTGTAATGCCACATCATACTGTACTTTTTCAAACGATCCTTGCTATCAATCCCGACCGCAGTTCTCCAAAAGACTTGAGCTCAAGGGATTGTCATTAATTTTGACCGACGTCCGGCAGGGAGATCGTGGGTTAGTATTTCAACGGCGAATTCACCCTAACAGTTTGATGAAAAGAAGAGACAAGCCATGGCATGAATTATATACGGTGAAGATTCAAAATGTTTTACCGTCAGGTTAGTGGTATTTGTCTGTTTACTATGCACTTCTCGATAAACCATTACCCAGAGGTAATTCTCCAGCGGGCAGGTTTGAGCATAATGCGGGTTAGTGGGGACGGTAGGGGCAACGGAAGGTTAGATGAATTACTTATGGAGCAGCCACTGGCCAATTTACTCTCAGTAACTTGTCGAATTCCCGTGATCACCCGCGAGCCTGACCCGAGACCACGAGGTCAGCAAGAATAAAATGTTGTTTTTGTGTTACGAGAACCTCCACGAAGAATTGCGTTTATCGGAATAATCAAAATGGTCCTTCGAGCTGGATTTAAACTGTGTAGCCAGCTTTAGGATGAATGAAGATAAAAAGGTGCACTTCTTGATACAACCGCTCCAGTTTATGTGTAGGTATTTGCCGCAGAGTAGCCCAGGATAGGGCGCTGATTTAGGGATTTTTAACACCTACTGAATGAGGCTTGGTATGATTTGTAGACATAACGCAAATTGCGAAGAAAGAACGGCCTCAGTGAATAACATCCCCCGAGATCAGCATAACTCTTCACATCATACAGAGCTGAATTTAATAATTATGTTGTTATTCATTCAAAATATTTCTAAGTTTTTAACAAGCTTACCTCATCGCGGACTTTCTTCAAAACTTTGGGCTATTTCTCGGCACGGTTTCAGGATTAAACAGATTTTCTTCAGTGGAAGATACTCTTCTATCGAGCAATATGTTTTGCGTATTCTCGCATTTCGTCTGTTGAGTTTTAGCCAGAAATTGGGTCAGCCATTTCGCTTTCGGATAGCCTTGAACGCTATTTTTTCTAGTTCCCTCTTGAACAAACAACTAGGCGACCGCGCCTAAAATCGTGGTTGATGGATGGTATGTATGGTATGTTGCCAAGGGAGCCTTATTTCCAATCAATACAATGGAATAGATGGTATATTGCTTGGCTCGCATTTTCCAAATTTGGTCAACTGCAGTTGGTTATGAAGATTATTAGCCGGGGGCTTTGAGCCAATCAGAACGGTGAAATATTTTGAATGAATTTTAAAAAGAAACTATCTTGCATAATAGTCACATATCTAAAAATAACAATAAGGATCCTAAGTGTATTCTAGAAGCGAAATTAACAGAAAAATAGAGACTTGGAAATGAGAATAAGATTTTCGACCTCTGATCTAAAAGATGGTTTCAAAAATAAAGCCGAAAAGGTACGCTAGACTATGAATATTGGGACGAAGTGACCCTTTGGTGCACCTAAGTCTAAATGAGATTTTTACACTTACTTTTTCAGATTTAGATCCCAGCACCACTAACTCGCAAAGTACTCCTACAGATGATAGCAGTACAACATATACACCGACACCCTCAACTAGTTGTTGCCAAGTCTCCTGCTCTACTTTCACTGTATTGGCTTGTTTTTTGATAGCAGCTTACTTCCTCACGCTGTATTAAGTTCAACAACTGTTCGAAGCAGGTACTCATGCGTGTGGGATTGCAGGAATGCCGAAATGAACAGCCGCATGATGGAAAATAGTATTTTTGGAAAAAGTCTTCCGATGAAGCTGTAGGCGCGGGATAAAGTGATGGCTGGGTTCGAGGTCATGGAAACTAGCCTGTTCCAGGCTCCGAGATAGTCGGGTCCGCGAAATTGAAAAAGCACGAGCACGACAACAAAACGGGAGGAAACTGGGGAGAGGAAGAGCATATATTTTCGCGTGCTGTCACAATGATATGCATATGGGCATCCCCATTCCCAAAACCCTAGTGACATGGGCATCCCCGGTCACCCTAACCCTAACTCTAAGCCCGCTAAGGTAATGTGAGAAGGAGATGCCCATATCACTAGGCTTTTGGGAATGGAGACGTCCAAAACGCGGGGATACCCATATCACTGTAACAGTGCCTTTCACTTACGCTTCAACGCCACTATCTTAGAGCCTGCGACAGGCTAGGAAAAACGTGCATGGTGATTTCAACGGCAGGAAACTGAAAAAAAATAATATACTGTTACTCAGCATTGGAAACTCTGATAGAGTATTTAAAACGATATTTCTATTGCGTGTATAAATAAATCAATTATTAGATGAGGCTAGCATGATCTGAAGAGTTATGCAGATCGAGGAGGTTGTTATCCGCCGCGGCCTACAATCAACACCATTCGAGATCTGCAAAATTCTGATCTTATCATACGATACCTCGATCGATGTTAAGTTCGCGTCTTCATTTAATTGTCTGTTCCTCGACAAATTCAGGATATATATGGATGTTTTATCTGGCATACATTCTTCAAATAGCAGCTGTCATTCCTCTTGATCGTGTCGTATTTTTGCTGTTCTTGCTATATACATTTTAAGGCAGAAGCTTGTTTTTTCTCCTTCACAAAACGTGTGAATTCTTCCGCCACTTTCTTTCAGCCTTACGAAAACCAAATGCGCTAACGCAGCCTAGGGCTTCCCAAACGACCTCTAAATTTGATTAACGCTAGCTGGTTATGAAGAATTAGCCGAAGGACTTAAGCCAATCAGAAACGAAGACATATTTGCAATGAATATTTTTTTAAAACATATTTTTAGGGGGAAAATGTAGATTTCATTTGGTTTTCAATTTATTTCATGGCACGTGGACTACAAAATTATAAAATTGGATTTCAACTGTTTTGAATAAGTTTTTATTTAAGTCTTTGCAAACAGGAATCTTTATTCTCTGTGCAAACATTGTAACCGAGATTGTTTACTCAAGTATATAATTATTGGAACAGTGTGCCTTAGTAAATTTCTGTACGCATATTATATGTACCCTCGAAAATTTTCTTGAAATAGATATACAGCTTAGTCACTGAATAACTAGACCTTTCGCCTGTTCAAATACCAACCGTTCGTAGTTTTTAGTTCTGACATGTTGAGGGATCCTGAGTAAAGGAAACTCGAATTCTTTTACACAGCTTTCTTTGTAAATTTCCTAAATTCACTTGCTTGACGGACATTTAATTTTGAGTTATTAAGTTTAACATATGAACTTTAAAACTGAATTTATCCAGATTTGTTTTTGCTGTTCAGCTGATTTTATTCAGCCTTCTTTCCATTTGTTTTGTGATGTTGTAATAAGTTGATCGCTTAGTATAAATAGAGCACTGTTATTCCCGTTTTTCGATTTACATTGTGGAGTTATATGCTTGTACGATTTACCTTGCGGATTTACTTGACTGTATGATTTACGTTCACGAGCTGAAGATTAAACTGTTGAAGTCCAAGTTTGAGTCCTGTCCTGTTTCCAGTTGTAGCAGATCCTAGTACCTTGGAATAGTGACGAGTTCCCTTCCCGCTAGCCAAGCGAGTTGCAGAGTTAGCTTTCCCCTTGTTGCTCACACGCCGGAGACGCTCGAATCCTCTTAACGCTTATTTCCCCGATTTGTGCTTGGAACGGCAAAACCTATCGTCACAATATATTTCATACAACTATTCTCCGAGAGGGAGTTGGACAGTGGAAGATATGAACAGAGGGAGCAAAGCATCGAGGTACTTAAGCTATGCATGCACCGGCCCTGTCAGGGATGGATAGTTGTTTAAAGAACCGGTCATTATTATCGCCTGGGGGCGGGGAGCGGAGGATTTAGGGCTAGTGAACATTAACACTGTACTTGGAAGAAGGAGAAACCATGCTCGCCCGGGACAACGAAAATTTTCGTGCCCCGGGCGAGAATCGAACTCGCGACCTTCAGCATAATAGATCGGACGTTCTAACCACTGAACCACCAGGGCTCTAGCGTTAGTGAAGCCGGAATTCTAGTATACCAGCAGATTGTACTACACTTCTGTACTGGGAGCTGAGTGCATTACACTTCTATGCTCAGTTTCTCGTGTGCCTTCTGCTAGTTTCAGTAAAGTAATGCTCGCCCCCGGGCACGAACATTTTCGTTGCCCCGGGCGAGCATGGTTTCTCCTTCTTCCAAGCGTAAATGTTCACTGGAGGTGTAAGTGTGCTGCTCACTAGTACATCATTAAAAATTAAAAATTAAAAATTAAAAAAAAACAAACATATTTTTTAAGCAAATTTGAGTGATCCCCCTTCTCTGAATCCTTCCAAAGTTTTCAGTGATCCCCCCTTTTGGGACTCTCAGTTACGACTGATCCCCCTTTTGTTCTCCTAAAAATCAAGTGACCCCCCCCAAAATCCTCTGCCCCCCCCCCCCGCCAGGCGATAAATAATGACCGGTGCCAAATAACTAGCAAACACATGAGATGGGTCATTTTTCTGTAAAAAAAAACGTCACTTAGTAAGAGCTTTCTTTAAATTTTAATTGGGAGTGTCCACAAATATTTTTTGTTGCGATTTTGTTACAAATTCAGTAAGAATAATGTTCTATTTATCATGATCAGTAAATACCAACAAGGTGAATTTCATTCATTGCTTTCTTGTTCCGGCTTGTTATTTTTGGTTACATCCATTGTCGGTTCCCTTCCTCAGCTATGAATAAGGTCTGGAAAGGCGGTGGGAGGGGTGGGGGGGAGGTCCTGACCCCTCATTTACCCCTTCTTTTCGACGAAAATCCCGCATCTCGAACTTCCTTCATCGCTATCCCTATTATCGTTTCCTTTCCCAATCCCGCAAAAAATAGAGACAATGTATGGAAGGTCGAGTGTAAATTTTTAAGTTGAGCGAGGTCTAACTTTTAGGTCTACGCACTACTTTTGCGCGACAGTGGAAATCCACTCCAAAGCTAAGGACGAAACATCTTCAGGACAAATTCACCCACTCCTCACCCGTGAGGTCATTTAAACCGAACAACTTTACCTAAACTTCACCTGTTAGGTCATTTTTAACGAACATTTTCTCCACACCCTACCCCCTGAAAGTAGTATTTGTAACACTACGGTGGCTTCCGAAGTTTTTGAACTTCACGGTCGATGATTTTGCTAGGCTTCGGTACTCGCAACCTTCTGTTTTGCGAACAATAGAGGTACTTTCCCCAAAACAATGAAAACGGCCATGAAAGGAGCAAAAATGCTGGTCATTCTCAAGTCAAAAATGCAACCTGAAGTTTGACACGTCCGTGCCCAAATTTTGGCGAATCCCTCTTTAGAGGTAGTAGTCTAATCCCGTATCCCGTTAACGTTTCCCGAATCCCGCATTGTATTTTGGTCAAATTCCGGATCGAGGGAATACCCGTCCAGACCCGGTATGAAAACTACCCCCTAAGCAGGCACTAAGTAGTATTCTAGTGGCTTGACCGGGTGGTCTCCCTTCGTTCGTGATGGTCACATTTTCTGCACCATGATTCCCAGTGACTGAATATATTCCACCGGTTGTTGTTGTTATTGTTGTTATTAGAAATCTTTAGATTCTGAGACGAGAATGACTACAAGTACGAGATTTTTTCATACTAAGTAGTGCGGTTGCGTGAACCAACGTCATTTTGGCGGGAAAACGTGATAGCCGTCGCTATTCCGCTACGAGTTTTAGCTAGAATGTCGTAGTGGCGGGAACACTGTTATCAAAATTTAAAAGTTTAATCATTTTGCGACCGCAGGGCTAAACCTTCTCCAATAAATAATGACCTCACTAATTTTTCAGGTGAAAAATAAAACAGTGAAGCTTTCAGGGTTGAATATTTTTCGAGAGTAAGTTAAATTTCGTACTCTTAGTCGTCCTCGTCCTAAATCTAAAGCTCTCTATTCTCTCACGTTGTGTTGGGATCATATGATGGTTTATGAGAATCTAAAAAGGCCTTGAAATGGATGTTCCGTATAGATAAGTCGCGTATTACCTTGCTGGGAAACAAATATTGGGTGGGATCCTGATATGAAGCTGATCCAGACAGGCAGACTGCGTTCTTGTTTAATTTGACATAATATAAAATCTTCTTCAGTCTTAACATGCGTTGCAACATTGTTGCGACATTGTTTCGAATTGTCATAACATTGTTCCAGCATTGCAATGCCGTGTTGCAGTAAAAATCGTCGTTGCGAATCGTCCCGTGTAACCTTTAAAATAGGGAGATCGAGGGCAGTTGTCACCGTAATGATTGTAACATACATGTCACATGCCATGTCTCAAGTCCCTTTCTTAGGTTTAACCGCCCGTTCATTAAAAACATCTTTAGAATAACACTTGAAGGCTTTGATCACTTGCTATCAGTTTAGCAAGGTCAAAAGCACTCGGTCCTATGGCTTCTGGTGTTAAGTAAATAGCTAAAATAAATGCTAATAGTACGAAAATTGTGACGGTTGAGTTAATTTGTGTGCCGGATAGTACGCAGCCCTTGAGACAATCATGATCTAAGTTTATCGTTCTTAAATGATTGATACTCATTCCAGAGGACATATGGAAACGTAAAACTTGTTTTTCAATCTTGATAAACTTGTGAAACTATGTGGGGTTTACCCTAGGGCGAAAACCCTTCGCATCATGTCCTTGTAGCCATAA